GACACTCCCACATGGCAGACCACGGTTTGAGTCCCGGACCTGGCAGCTTGCTGTCTCACTCTTTCTCTCTTTGTCATTCTCTGGTCAAATTCAAATAAATGAATGAATAAACAAAATAAAATAAATAATTATAAAAAAATTCATTGTCCTCCTTTTTATGTTTCATCTTTTCTATTTTTTATTTTCTTTCTTGTCCTCCTTTCTCTTTGCTGTGCTTCTGCTTGTTTCTATCATAAACCACGGGCTATGGGCCGTAAATGCGATCCTAACGTCCCTTCAGTCCTAGCGGTCTGCCAGTCCTCACGGTTTTCTCTTCACCACTTCTCTCTTTCCACTGGCTAGAAGTCTCTTAGGGCTGACTCTGTAGCACAGTGAGTACGCTCAGTGCACTGGGAGCTGAATCCACGTGGTCAACCGCAGTTCGATTCTGTCACAGTGGCTTGGACAACACCCTGGGTCCACGTGCATGCATGAACAGGGTGGAGAAATGGAGCCCAAAGGATTGAAGCATCACCATGCTCCACAGTGCTAGGGGAGCTCTCTCTCTGGCAAGAACACATGCCCTCTGGCAATTAAAAAAAAAGTTACTGGGGCCAGCAGGTGGCGTGGTGGTTAAAGGCGCTGGACTCCCACATGGCCAACCACGGTTGAATTCTGGACCTAGCGGCTTGCTTTCTCGCTTTCCTTTTCTCTCTCTCTCTGGTCAAATTAATAATAATAATAATAATAATAATAATAACAAATGGAACTAAATAAATAAATCATTTTTTTAAATTACTTAACTTCCCTAGACCTCAGTTTTTCTTCATCTGGAAATGGAGCTAATAATTACTAGAGTATCGTGAGCATCATACAAGTTCAGCTCTTAGCTCAGCGCTTACCCCAGTGGCCTCCAAGTTACCATTAACTGTACTCTCATTTGACTTTGCAAGACTGGTATGAAATAAAAAACACTTGGAGCCGGCAGGTTGTATGGTGGTTAAGCGCACTAGACTCCCACATGGCCAACTGCAGTTTGAGCCCCAGACCTGGTGGCTTGCCTTCTCACTTTCCCTCTCTCTCACTCTGTCCCTCTCTGGTCAAATTAAAATAAAGTTAAATAAAATAATAATTTTTTTTTTAAAAAAAGAAATATAAAACACTATAAAAATGTTAGTTGCAGGACCAGCGGTTGGTGTAATTGCATATAGTCAACCGTGGTTTGAGTCCCGAACCCAGTGGCTTAAACTCACACTGGGCGTGTGTGCGTGCGTGCCCAAGATCCCGAGAGGAGAATGGAGAAGGAATTGCGGTGTGGCCATCCTTCCTGGTGGATGATTTCTTGCTTTCTGTCTCTGTCTCTCTGGAGACCTCAAGCACCCTATAGTAAAAACTGCTCCAAAAAAAAAAAGATAAAGAAAGAAAGAAAAAAGAAAAGAAATATTAGTTGCTTATTTTTTTTTCCCAAAATTTTGGTGAAGTGGAAAGAATGGTTTTGAATTTGAAAAGACCTAGGTTCCATGTAAATCCTTGGAAATTTTTTTTTTAAAGGATTTTTTCTTTCTTTCTTTCTTTCTTTCTTTCTTTCTTTCTTTCTTTCTTTCTTTCTTTCTTCTTATTATTTTAAGAGAGGTTTTTGCTATAGGGCACATGTGCTTGCCAGAAAGACAGAGAGAGACAGAGAGACAGAAAGCGAAAAATCGCCCCCCAGGAGGGATGGCCATGCCACAATCCCTTCTGCTCCACTGTCCTCTCGGGATCTTGGGCACGTATGCACATGCACCTGGTGTGAGATTATGTTGGAGGGTCTGGGCCTCAAACTGTGGTTGACTACATGGGGAGTCCAGCAACATAACCATCCCACCATCTGCTGGTCCCTTATTATATTTTAATTTGACTAGAAAGAGACAGCCAGAGAGAGAAAGAAAAAGTGAGAATGCAAGCCTCCAGGTCCAGGTCTCAAATCTGGCTAGCCATGGGAACCAGCAGTTAGCATAATGGCTACGTCGCTGGACTCCCACTTAGTCGACTGTGGTTCGTGTCCCGGACCCGGTGGCTTAAAACTCACGCCGGGCATGTGTGCCCAAGATCCCGAGAGGAGAATGGAGGAGAAGAGATTGCGCTGTGACCATCCCCCCTGGGGGGTGATTTCTCGCTTTCTGTCTCTGTGTCTCTCTCTGTCTGTCTGGTGAGCGCACGCGCCCTGTAGCGAAAACCTCTCCAAAAAAAAAAAAATCTGGCTAGCCATGTAGGAGTCCAGCACCTTAACCACCATGCCACCTGCTGGCCCCAATCTTTAGAATTTTAGGAACCTCAATTTCCTCATCTGCAAAATTAAGAATAACAAATGCCCTCCTTCCACATGGGATTGTTTTCCCTCTGCTCAGTAACTAAGAGTCTGTATTCCAAAAGCACTGCTTACCAAGCACACGTTGTAGTCATGGTGGTGGGTGTCCCAGAGTTACGTTGAAGATGCAGTACAGTTGTAAAGATTCAGTGGGATAAAATGTTAAAACGTGTCCAACCAGTGTTTAGCATTTAAAACACAATTATTACTAAGGCAGGAGATAGGGATATTAAACATACAAGGTAATGGCCCAAGATAGAGACACGGTAAACTTTACCCAAATGGGAGTCACAATGGCTAAGTTTTTTGTTTGTTTGTTTGTTTGTTTGTTTGTTTTTGAGAGATTTTCACTGTAGGGCGCGTGCGCTCGCCAGACAGACAGACAGAGACATAGAGACAGAAAGCGAGAAATCACCCCCCAGGGGGGATGGTCACGCCGCAATCCCTTCTCCTCCATTCTCCTCTCGGGATCTTGGGCACGCACGCACACGCGCCCGGCGTGAGTTTTAAGCCACCGGGTCC